CTTGTACATGTATCTGTTTATATCTAATTTGTGATCTGAGGTGCATGGCCCATCCCAGGGTCGAACCTAGAAGAATGAATGAATGTATGAGTGACATGATACAGTGACATCACCTGGCAGGTTTTAGAGCATGAGCCCAGAAGATCTGGTGTCACTGCCAGTGAGGGGAAGTTTAGGGAAGTGAACTAGGGGACTCCTTTGGAAGTTGTAGAGATAGAAGTTTTATTTCATTGTTATTGTGGTTAAATATAGTTCTAGTTTCTGGAGGCACTTATGTCTTCTTTTGTGAACTAACTTCTTCAAGACCCTCTTCAGTTTTTCAGTTACAGTGCTTGTTGTTTTCCTATTGATTCGTCAAAATTCTTTCTATATTAAGGATATTGCTTTTTACCTAGCTAGCATTTTTATATGCCTTTTCATTTTGCTTCTATTTTTGACATACAACCATTAATATTTTTTTGTATAAAATGATCAATCTTGTATCTTCCACAGCTTTTATGTTCAGAAAATCACAGTTAGATCATAATTTGCCAATATTCTCTTCTAAGTGTTTTTGGCTTGGTTTCTTTTTAACTTATAACTCTTTATTCTATCTGGAATGTATTTAGTATGTGATGTGAGTCGAGGAGATAATTCTTTTCCCAAACAGTTAATTAGTTGACCCTGCAAAAATGTGTTTCTTTTCTCATTGATGTTTTTAATGTTGTCTTACACATATTTCAATTTTTATGTGTATTAAGGCTATTTCTGCAATATCATTTCATGTTCTGACTGTCCACTCTTGGACCTCCTCCACACTATTTTCGTAAGTGTCATTTGCTGGTTCTGTTTAGTACCTGGTAGGATAAGGCTACTACATTTACCACCTTTTAAAATTTCTGCATTGTCTGTAAATGCCTATGTTCCCAGTTAAACTTAGGTATCATTTTACTAAATTTAAAACAGGTCATCAGGCTTTTGGTCAGAATTGCATTCAGCTTATAAATTAACTTTTCAATAACTTCTCAAAAGGTTAATACTCTAAATTAACCTTTCAGTAGTCTTTCCACTCAAGATTATGCTATGTCTCTCCAATTATTCAAAATGTTTTATCCCTCTATAAAAGTTATCTTCATACAGTGCCTACACAGTCCTTATTAAGTTTATTTCTATGTATTATATGCATTTTGTAATTAATATAAACAATACCTGTTTTCTTTAAATTTTCATCTGTCTCTGGTAATAGGAATGTTATTGATTTTGTCTATTTATTTCACATTTGGCTACTTAGCTAAAATTTCTTATTAGTTCTAATAACTTTCTAATTAATTCTCCTGGGTTTTCTGGGTATATTAACATATCATCTGCAAACCATATGCTCGCTTCTCATTTCCTCTCCTTGTGTCGCATGGGCTGGCTCTTCCAATAAGGCGTGAAATCTCAGAGGTGATAGTAGCATTTCTATCTCATTCCTGATCTTAATCAGGTATTTCACCACAAGTACCATGTAGGTAATTGTTCTAAAATGATGGTTAAGGAAATATTCTTTCTCCTGGTCCCAGATGCTATTTTAATCAGGTTTACATGTCTTATTTCATTAAATGCCCATTTAGCATTTACTCAGAAGATCTTAACTTTTTGCTCTTTACTGGGATGCTTTGTGTTACAGCATATTTTTTCAATATTAGTCATTTTAGAGATTAACTGTCCTTTGTCAGTTATCCCTAATGTGGGCTTTAGAAAAAATTAGTGTTGAATCAATGTATTAGCATCATAGTTAAGCAGGTGGATCTGAGGTGGACTTCCTACATTTGAATCCCGACCATGAGTAACAGTGGGCCTTGGGCCCCCTCCCTTAATTCATCTTTGCCTTAGTTCTTCACCTGTTAAATGGAGATGATTTTTATAGTATCCACCTTATAGAGCTGTTGTGAGGATTAAACAAGTCAATACATGTAAAGTTGTTAGAAGAGTGTCTAACCAAATACAGTGTGTTAAATTATTGAGAACTTACCAAGTGCCTGGTACTGAGCTTGGTTTGTGGCTTTAAAAATGGGAAAACTCCCATATAGTCTGCTTTCTCATGGAGCTTATGGCCTGGCAAGGAGATAGATATTTATGAAATAATCACACGGAAGCATGGAAATTTGCTTCTATGATAGGTGCTACCGAGGAGAGGTTATGGTGTCACAAGAGCATATAATGGGGGGTTTGTTCTAGTTAAGGAGAGGCACTTGACCGTGATCTGAAAGATAAATATGCCAAGTAGGGAGGGGAGAGTGTTCAAGGCAGAGAAAATAGCATATGCAAAGGTCCTGTGGCTGTGCAGTCAGAGAGTGCATCAGGTACTGACTGAGAAGGGTGGGGTTTGACTAGAAACTAGTGGATACAAGGCTAAGAGGTCACTAGGGGCCGGACCGTGCAGAGACCCTCATAGACCTTAAGTGATTTTTTTCTTGTTGAGCAGCAATGAGGGGGTTCCTGAGCAGCATCACAGCCTCACCAGAGAGTGACTTAGAGGAGCAGACACTCCGGCCCCACCCAGATGCTGTGGTTCAGAATCTACATTTCAGCCTGGTCCCCAGGCATTGTGCACACACACAGTGAAGTCTGAGACTCTCCTGGGAGGACTGTTTTCACAAGGAGGGTGTATGTGAGCAACACTGTGAGAGGCAGCTGAGAGGGAACTCTATTAAATGAAGACTGAAGAGACCCGCTGGACCCTTCAGTGACCTCAGTACACCTGTTTGGAACCAGAAGGTAGAATTGATGGCTGGAGAGTGAGTGGGAAGTAAGGAAATGGAGACAAAGCTTGTAAAAAGGTGTGTTTTCTAGAAATTTGGCTGTGAAGGGGAAGACAGAGATAAGGCTGTTGGGAAATGAGGAGTAGAGTGGGAATTGTTTTCTTAATGATAGAATCTTGAGCACATTTAAAATGGGAAGGTTCCAGTGGAGAGGAAACGCTTAAACATGTATATCCTATGGAAGACAGAAGCATATATAAGGTTCATGAAGAGGAGGGAGGAATGGGATCCAAAGGGCACATGGAAGGATTATGTTGTCAATATGAGAACATCCAAATTTGTAGATAATTTTTTCAAAAGTTTATTTGAGCCAGAGGATATGCCTGGAAGCAAGATCTCAACAGACTTAGAAAACAGTTTGCATCTTCTTTCATGCATTTGGAATTAGGGAGGGAAGTAAGGAAGATTATATGAAAGCATGAAGGCAGGAGAAAGCAGGCCGGAATGGGATTATAGGCTAATGAGAATATGCGTTCTCTTGAGGGTGGTTTTTCTTCTGAGGGGTCTGAACAGAGGCATTTCAAAGACCTGTTAACCTAGATGCACAGAGGTAATGGACAAGGCTTGCTTAAGGCAAAGATAAACCTTTTATTAAAGAGGTTACAGGCCTGAGGCAGGACTACCCAAGGTAACCTGCGCATTTAAGAATTTATAATCACATCACTCTGTGAACTTACTTTCCATAGAACCCCATTTTTTTGTCTTAATGGTAAGACTGAAGGAGAAATGGTTCCTCTCTTGGAAGAAGGAAGACAGCGTAAGGCAGGCTAGATGGGTTTGGAATTGGGAAGATGGGGGATCCCCACTGATGGCTTTTATTTTCTACTAGAGGCCCGGTGCACAAAAATTTGTGCACTCGGCGGGGGTGGGGGGGTCCCTCAGCCCTGCCTATGCCCTCTTGCAGTCTGGGACCCCTCGGAGGATGTCCACCTGCTGGCTTAGGCCCGCTCCCTGGGGGATCAGGCCCAAGCTGGCAGTCAGACATCCCTCTGGCAGCCTGGCAGCCCTTGGGGGATGTCCACTTGCCAGCGGGGAGCAGGCCTAAGCTGCAGT